TATGTAAATGTGTATAAATGTAAAAGGAACAATATTTTACTATAATGGATTAGGAAAGACAGGTGGAACCGGATATTTAATCAATAAAAGATGTATAGATAATATTACCTCCTTTAAAACATATTCACACAGAATTGCGAAGATTATATTAAACCTCGAAAATAAAAAAGCCGGGAGAATACAAATCATACAAGTATATGCACCAACCTCTACCGCAAATGAGGAAGAAAGAGACGAGTTTTATGAAAACCTACAGATGGCAATTGATGATGATAAATGTAAATATACCATGGTCATGGGAGACTTTAATGCAAAGGTTGGTAAAAAAAGGACGAATCATGTATTGGTAATTTCGGCATTGGGAATAGAAATGAAAGTGGAGAAAAGTTGGTGGAATTTATAGAGGGAATAGTTATTTATATTACAAGTGGGCTAGAAACATAATTACAGTACGAGTGTGGAGAATTGCACGACGAGGTCGTAGACCGAGTCGTGTAATCACACGATATTCAAAAAGATACAAAAAAAGGAAAAACGGAGCACAAATTTACAAAAAGAGAAACAATAAAGAGATCAGGAAGAGAAAAGATTGAGTACACAGAAATATCAAAATTAATAAGGAAAAAATGGAAAGAATAGTCATATAACAAAAAAATAATATAATTAGAAGATGCAATCACTACGGGAGGAAGTATAAGAAAAAGTGTGAGACAACAATCACTGGGACAAAAAAAAATAAAAGTAATGAAAGATAAAAACGGTATGAGCAAAAGGGAAGATGCAGAAATATTAAACATATATAGTCGCAACATATATGCGACTTTTATAAGGAACTATACAACAAGACGGAAAAATAAAGGAATTAAATGGAATGCGGGAGCAGACATGATGGAGGCTGAAGAGAGAGAGAATGAACAGATACAATACGAAATAATGATAGAAGAAGTAAGTGATGTAATATCAAAGCTGAAGGAAGGAAGAATTGGAGGTATAGATCAGATAAGAAATGAAGAAATAAAGGCAGGAGGAAACCGTATAGTGAAAATATTGAAGGAAATTTTTAATAACTGTTTGAAACAAAAAAAGATACTTGATAGCTGGCTCGTAGCTAAAATTGCTTTAATATACAAAAAAGGCGATAGGGAACATATCAACAATTACAGACCAATAAATTTACTCCCGGTGATGTATAAAATATTTATGTCCATAACCACAAGGAGAATAGAGCAACACCTACCATCCTCCGAAGGATTCAAGAAGAACTTCCACACGTCAGACAATATTTTAGTCGTGCATCAACTGATAAAAAAATCGAATGATTATGACTTCACAATGCTCTTATTATTTGTAGACTTTGAGAAAGTGTTTGACAATGTAAGAACAGAAACAATCTTACAAGTCATACAAACGTCTGGTATGGAAGATCACTATATTCGTATATTAAACTATATATACAAAAACTCAAAACTAAAAATCGAAATGAACAATAAGAAAAGGACGATAACTCTAGGAAATGGACTGAAGCAAGATGACGTGACTTCTGCAAAGCTATTCAATGCAGTATTGGAAACAATGTGTGTAGAAGAAGAATGGAAAGACCTGGGAATAAGAATAAATGGACAATGGTTGAACAGGCTAAAGTTTGCAGATGACATAGTACGTATAGGAAGAAACGAAACGGAAGTAAGGAAAATGCTGGGAACAATATCGAGAAGAGGGAAGAAAACTGGTCTGGAGATAAATATGAGCAAGACAAAAGCAATGTACGTAAATTGTGAACAAAGAAAGGAAAATAATTGTTAATGGAAAGGAAATCGACAAAGTAGAGCATTTCGTATATCTAGGACAAAAGATTACAACTAAAAACACAGGAGAAGAAATAACACGGAAAATGGCAATGGGATGGCAAATGATTAGCAAATACAAAAGTATATGGAAATCAAACATAAAAATGGAGAAAATGAAAAAATTGTGGGAAATGTGTGTCCTCCCTGTAATTAAATAAACAAAATAATTAAAAAGATTAGGGTAACAGCAAGGGCAATGCATAGAAGGATGATTGGCATTACGAAGAAAGACAAAAAAAACAATAGAATGGATAAGGGAAAAGTCAAACATCGAGGACATTGGAAGAATAGTATTGGATCGAAAATGGAATTGGGCGGATCATATTATAAGAGTACAAGATGAGAGATGGACCAAGAAACTCTTAGAATGGTACCCAATAGACAAAAAGAGAAGAAAAGGAAGACCAACTGCCAGCTGGGAAGAAGGAGTTGTGGAGGAGTAACATGGCACAGGGTAGCTTGGGACCGACAAGAATGGAAAAGAATGAAGGAGATATACAAGGAAATATGGCTTTACACGGAATAATACCAAGAGCATACGAACTCAGTCCCATTACGGGAATGCGAAAAGGAGCAAAGATGAAATTTAAATTTGTTAAATTTTTGATATTAATTTGCTAAAGTATGATTTTGATTTCTTAAATTTTGATTTCGTTCTGTTAAATTTTGATTTTGATTTGTTAAATTGTAAAAAGTTTATGAGTTGTTTCTTTTGTTGGTGACAATAAATGGCTATCTATCTATCTAATCGCCGAAAATTGCAAAATTCGCAAAAATTGTCGATTATTTCAAAAATTCATTTCTCAAGAACTAAAAGTGATTTTTCAAAACGGCTTGTTGCATTAAAAAGAGAATACTTTAATTAATAATTGGTGGTATTTCCACAAGGAGCCTTCAAGAAATTAATTTTATAGCGAATTTTGAAATTTATCGGTGAAAATTGTAACATCGAAAATTTTATCAAAACTTGAAATATTGTTTTCTCAAAAATTAAAAGTTATTTTTCAAAACGTGTTAGTTCATTGGAAAGAGGACACTTTTATTAACATTTTGGGGCGTTTTCATACTCATATTTCAAGAAATCGATTATATACGAATTTTTAAAACTTAATCGGCAAAAATTGCAAAATTCGAAAAAAATTTTCCGTATAGTTGCCGAATATCCGTTCCACCACTAGTTTTAATTATAACCTTTTTAAAATCATTTTAACATCATCTTCAACATTGCTACGTGTTTTTTTAGGAAAATACCATTTTCTGGCACAAAAACCACAACCACAACATTTTAATAAATTGTATGTTGCGGTGGTCCAAAAATCAACCATGTTTTTTTCATTGGGACGAGTTGCAGCTTGTAATTTAGCATCGGTGTAACAATCGTAAATGATCGCTAAAAATAAATTCTAAAAAAAAAAGTGTATAACAAAAATGTTTTGTAAATAATATAAACTTACTAATAAAATAAAAAACGTTATTGCCAAAAATAGGTAGTAAAAAATATACGACATTACAGGGTCGACTTTTAAAAGCTTATCAAACGTGAGATCGCCGATGAGGATTCGTGATAATGCGAATAAAGATAAAGCAAAAGTAGAGAAATCCCATAACTTAAAGAAATTTTTTTTAAATTAAATACATCAGTTAATTGTTATTTACTTGTGTTCCAAAAATAAGTCCACCAAAAAGGGCAAATCCGAAATAAACTATACAAATGATTACTAAAAATGCAGCAACATCTAGTAAACACTAACAAATATAATTAATTTATATAATGTAAAATATATAAAGTATTTTTTTTACCTTCCCAAAAGCTTCATGAATTTCGCTCGTAGATACATTAAAATTAATAATTCTAAACAATTTAAAATAAGCAACAAAGAGTGCGATTGCCATTGCGTGTATCATGTACATTTCTCCGGTTGTTACTTCTTCTAAATGAATGCGTTTCTCGACGTTTTTTGATGTTTCCATTAACAAATTGTGAACCTCCCAATGTTGCATTATTTGAAACACCACAAATGTTATTGAACTCTAAGTATAAAATATAATAGTTAAATCTAACATTATTAAGGACAGGGCCAATACATATTGGATTGAAGATGAGAAGAGGGGATTTCAACTGTAATAGGTAGAGTGTAATAAGTTGAGGGAGGAGGTAATAGACTCGAAGTACATAGGTGCTGAACCGTTTGGTGTTTGTGTGGGTTTTATGTGTCTTTAGTCAGGAGAGACTAGGATTAGTGTGACTGCCAACAGTTTTAGCTCACTCAAGGTGCACCTCTAGCATTTTGCCATGGACGCGATTTAGTTAATCCCAAAATAGAAGACATTTGGTACCTTTTGTTTGACCAAGAAATACTTAGGAACATTATACAGATCAATATTAGACTTGATAGTGTTAGGGCAAAAGTAACGGATTATCAAAAAACTAATTACAGAGCTACAGATGAAATGGAAGTAAAAGCCTTTTTGGGTCTTCTTATGTTGTCAGAAATTGTATTCTTTGCCTAATAAATATGGTCTGAAGTTAGAGACACATACCTCCTGTAATAAACTAAAAGAAATTACTTCGGGTTAAGAGTTAAATAAACTAGAGGAGGAATACACTAAATGGGGCTTGGAAATGAACAAAGATAAGACCCAATATATGGTAATTAGAGAAACGGAAAATGACATACAATTGGAGATTGGCATAATAAAACATGTAGACCAGTACGAATACCTTGAGGTAGTTATAAACGAAGACGGAAAGGACAATAACGATGTAATGTATGCATTCTAATCTGTGAAATAACAACCTAACGATACGAACAAAAATATTTTTAAGACCATTATACTAGAAGTATTAATGATGTATGGGTCAGAAGACAAAAACACAACTCGAAGAGACGATGTTTTGGAGAAGATGCTGCGGCATAACCGTGCTGGACCGAGTTGAAAATGAGGAAATACGAAGAAGAATGATGACACAAAACTCTAATAGACACTATAATTGAAAAGCAACTAAAATGGTATAGTCTGGACATCTACGCCGAATGAGAAAAGAGAGAATCCCACCTAAGGTTTGGAACTGGGTGCCACCAGATAGATACAAAAGTTTATATATAGTGGATTCCAGGTACATCGTATAAATCATAGAATAAAAGTTCATAAGTTGAATCGATGTATAAATTTCTTTATTAAATCAGTGCTACATATGTTTCGAATCTAATGATTCTTCTTCTTTGGCACGACGTCAAAAATTAGGTTGTCTGATGGAACTGAACATTCAAAACCATTTGTAAAACATTTAATTCTTAATAAAATCACAACGCGACAATCTTACGAAGAAAACAGGTGATACAGATACAAAAGAAGCCTAGGAAAAAAGGATCCAGGATATAAATATGGAGATAAAGAGGAGAGGACTAGGTGAAGATGATTGGAATGATAAGGACTGCTGGCGGTTGGGATGCACGAAGCAGCAATAAAAAGCTGCAAATACACGCCAAATAGAAACAGAATAGATGTTTACTAATACCATGAGATACAAAGATTGATGAACCCTAGAGATACAGTAACTTATATTGAAAACAAATAATTTCGATAGTTAGAGTATTATATAAGATAACCCACTTTCTTATCTTGATATAAATCGTCTCAGATCTCGACACCTTCCATTAAATTTTGCTGAATAACTGGCTAGAAACGTCGACATCAACTCTGAGTGGAAAAAAGACTGGAACGCCAAAGCACCACCAAGAATAAAACAAAAGATCTTTCCCAACCAAGACGTAAAAAGATTTTGGCTTTCCTATGGATGGGTCTCAACAGAGTGTATACGACACATGGAGTCTGACTGCGCAGCTCCAAAACGGTCTATCCTATTAGATCTTATCCTAACGATATGAGGGACTTCTTTAATGCCAAACCCGCAACTCCGCAATTATCCAAATTGCTTTGGACACTTTTTTAACGTTACAAACTATAATATCCTGGATCCTATTAATATAGTAAAACGATGGTCGTCAATTGCCAAATAAGTAGGTATGCAACAGCCACACATTTTCGGTAGCTATAAAGTTTTATACGTATCTGAATTCAAACGTTCAATCGAGTTAATTATCAGAATTTCTCCATGTTGGGACGACGTTCTAAATATCTTATCGCACATGACCATAAAACTTATTTAGTTCATGTTTAAGATTCGATTGCGTCTGATGCTAAACAATTTTGGGCATATGCGAAACAGAAACGATGTGGTGTTAGAATTAAGGGCGTCCCCAGCCAGTGGGCCAGGGACAATTGGTCAATCATATTATTAATAAAACCATCAAAGTTCTCAAAAATATGCTTCTTATGCACACTCATCATGGCAAGACCATTGAGACGACATTCTACCATAGTGCTTCTAAGCCAGGTTTTTATTCTCCTCAAGCTGCTAAAAGATCGTTCAACAGTATATGTGACCAAAATTATAAGGGCTTTGAAGGCAATGAATCAAGTGATCGTTCAAAAAGAAGAAAAACCGAAACACTACGGAAATATGTAACATGTGAAGAGCTTGTTTTTGCAACCGAAACCAAATTAAGATCTTGTGGTAAAAGAGATGCTGCAAAAGTTCTGCAACAACTTATCGAATCTCCGAAACGGGCAACAAAGTACAAAAAAGCTTAGAAGCTCTATCGAGATTTGTTGAGGCAGGACTTTCGAGATAACAATATGAGCTAATAAAAACTAAGCAGTACCCATGCTATAGTAAATTACAACAGGCCAAAAAGTTATGATATCCGAAATCAGATTCGCATTTTATTAGTGATAATTGTGCAGAAATTAATTTACAACAGTTACTAGACCACACTTCCGAAAAGCTAATATCATATTTGACAGAAATAGTGCAGACTCTCACAGAAAATGAGCGGGCAACGATTCAGTTGTTATCTAAATGGGGATGTGATGGATCTCACCAGTTTCAATTTAGACAAAAGTTTGAAAACTACTTTGACTGTGATGAAAATATATTTCAGACATCAATGGTCCCATTGTAACTGATTTGCGGAACGAATAATAAATTAATTTGGCATAATTTCACTCCATGTTCCCCTCGATATTGCAGGCCAATAAGAATAAGATTTATTGAAGAAACCACTGATATTATAAAAGAGGAAATTGAATATACTGATAATAAAATCAAAGAATTGAAGCCCACCCATGTTTCAGGTGTTATTGTAAAACATTGCATGATGTTTACAATGGTTGATGGTAAAGTTTGTAATGCTTCTACAGGAACTAAATCATCATTGAAGTGCTAAATATGCGGTGCGACTTCAAAGCAGTTCAATAATTTAGAAAGAGAAGCCGAAAATAATGAAAACTCATACAAATTTGAACTTTCTATTTTACACGCTAGAATAAGATTTCTGGAAACCCTTTTACATATTTCATACAAGTTGCCCGTTAAAAAGTGGCAACAAAAATTAAGCGCTGACGAGAAAGCTCTTATACAAGAGAGAAAGAAAAAAATTCAAAAAGAATTTAAAAAGGAAATGGGTATCTTAATTGATATACCTAAACCCGGATATAGAACTAGCAATGATGGTAACACTAGCAGGCGATTTTTCTAGGCTGCAATTACTAGACTAGACTATTCTCTAATTTCCCGCCTAAAAGTTATTTTAGAAACTATTTCAAGTGGGCATAAAATTGACATTGAAAAGTTTAAAGAGTATACTTTGGACACGGCAAAAGTTTATGTAGAGGAGTACCCATGGTATCCCATGACTCCTACACTACATAAAATTCTAATGCATGGTCCCGAAATTATTAAAAATGCACTTTTGCCCATTGGGCAATTGTTGGAAGAAGCAGCAGAAGCACGCAATAAGCACTTTCGTGAATATCGATTAAAATACGCGAGAAAATCGCCCGCGAAGCTTGTAATAAAGATATTATTAACAGGTTATTGCTGACTTCAGATCCACTCTTATCAAGCATTAGACCGAAAACTAACAAGAATACAAAACCTTTTTCTAAAGAATGCATTGAACTGTTACTTCCAGGGGAAATACAAATTATACCGAATGAAACAGAAACGAAAGCGAAGAAGAAGATGAAAATAGAAATTCATCAAGCGAAGAATTAGAGTCATCTTGAGTTATATATATAAGAAGTATATGTAAAATTGAAGCAATACTGTCTTAATTTATTAGTTAACATATTATTATGATTAATCCTATAGTGAAATACCTACATATGTACGTACCTACCACATATACAAGTACATAACATACAGGTGTTTCTAAATTGATGCAAAAGATTTCAAGGGGTGATTTTTCAGCAAAAATTACGCGGGTGTTTCATATACCTTTTTGTTCAAAACCCCCTCCACTCCCAATTACAGCCCTCTAAAGTTAAGGGAAAAATTGCTTTTGTTTAATACATATGTCCCCGATGAAATGTCCACTATGAAAAATGCCTGTAATAAAAATATTTGTCATTATGACTTTATTTGACATCGGCCTACTTGATTTTTCTTAACAAATAATAACCAATCTGAATTACCTATGTCAAATGAGCCTATGCTTTATTTTATATTTTTGTGACCAAACTAACAATTTTGGGAGAAAATATCTGGAGACAAAAAAGTTGTAGATTTATTTAAACCAAAATTTAAAATAGAAAAATGTAGGCGCATTAAAACGTTCTGATGCAAAGTATTACACAGGAGTTGATTTTTTCACCCCCTTGTAATAGCATTTTAGGGTTATAAATATCGTTAAAAGGTGTCATTTTATTAACAACAATTATCTGCCAAATTTCATTCTTCTAAATTTCTCCATAGTAAATTTATTAAATAAACTTAGTAACTTAGTAACTTGGAGGAGAAGGGGTTTTGAACAAAAAGTTATATGAAAGACACCTTAATGTTTGCTGAAAAATCAACCCTTAAAATCTTTCGCATACATTTAGAAATACCTGTACATTACAATTTAGGGTTTTAAATAAAAAAAAGTTTAACAGTTCGTACCTAAAAGTATGTATTTTGCATTACATACCCTGTATCTGAAAATAAAAAAAAAACATTTTAAGGGATGAAAATAGAAAAATAATTTTGTCCAGATAGAATGAGCAAATACCCCATTGTGGCGTCGTGACGTAGTACCTTTTGTTAAGTTACATACAGTGTGTTAATTAATTATCGTACCCCACGTCATCATTGCAAGTATGCAACCAATACTGTGATATTGGTTGCATACTGCGATATTGGTTGCATACTGTGATATTGGTTGCATACTTGCAATGATGACGTCAGGTACGATAATTAATTAACACACTGTGTATGTATAGTATAGTTGTGAGGTAGCTCCTAATAGGACTTGTTCTGTCGCTACATCTTCCATGTATAAATAAATAATAAATCAACGGTTGAGGTTGATTTCCACGACCAGGCAGTAAGCAACGACTTAACTTTTATTCGAGGTGATTCGAGGGATTTGAAAGAATTATAGGTGTAGGTGAGAATATAACATAAATAAAACCTATAAATATTAAAAACAAAGAAAATTTACCGCTATTAACAATACATCAACGTAATTCCAAAATTCATAAAAAAATCTTTTCCGTAAAAAGATAATCTCCCGAATTTCTTCGATAGTATAGAAAACAATTAATAAGATAAAAATAATTTCGCAGGCTAAAACGAAAAAATCCGTCGCTGTCGTGTACCGAGGCATCCTCCACGTGAAAAAATTGCTCGTTGGAACCACTCCGCCAGTTGGTGGGATTTCAAAAACGATCAAAACCAGTGTAAACAAATTAACGTGCGGATTATAGTAAGCTGAAGTAATAAACAGGGCTCGGGTTGTGTTTCGAATAAAATTCCCTAATTTTAAATTTTCCAAAACTTCTTCCGCTTCTTCGTAAGTTCTTGGTAATTCAATTTCGAAACCATCACCTCCATAACTGCTTATTCTTCCATTCCAATTTGCAGCTTTCGTTTCGGACGCTTTTTTATAAGTGTAATTGGTACCTTTTAATAAATAATTGTTTTAATTCTTAATTCTAATTTAAATTAAATTAACCTTCTATATCCTTTTTGTACGAATTACTTGTTGTGTAACTCGGTAAACACTCTTCGGTGATATTTGGAAAAGGATCCGGGCATTTAATCGGTGCCACCATTACTTGTCGGATGATCGGAATTCCTACCATTTTATTTTCTGTACCGATACCTTTATCTGATTGATTTGTGTGTTGGAATTCGTCTGGATAAAGAATTACTAATAAATGATTGGTGAGGTAATCCCAAATTTCGTCAACGGTTGAAATTTCGTTGAATTTTACGTTGCTTGTGTTTTCCGCTTCTGGATAAGGTATCGTGGTATGATCGATCAGTTGTTTGCGAAGATTTTCTGCCATAAAAAAATCCGTTGATTTTGTTATACCTAATGCAGCTTAAAAAATAAATTTCAAATTGGATCAATTTTAGTTTTAATAAAATCCCTTACCTATACTCATACAAATAATTAATATTATATAAAAAAACACCTCCTGTGCGGTTGTAGCTAAATATAGATTTCTATTGACAAGTTTTGTCATTTGGGCCGTAGTCCAAGGTACTAATTACAAAAAAAAATAAATTAAAAAAATTCTTTTTTAATTAATTTTTACCTTTATGAAATTTTCGGACATTTTTGGATCGTTTCTTAACGTTAACGTTTTCGTTCGGATCTTCCATTTATTTAGATAATTAATTTTCTTTTTCAATCAATTAAATTCTTTTGCGAGCTTTCAATATCTATGGAGATTACTAAACAACGCAAAACAAAATTGTGAAATAAACAACAAAATAAGACTTTGAAAATATTTTGAAGTGAATTAATAAACATGCAATTGGGTAAAACATCTTCGAGAGATTTAATTGTTGATCAATCGATTCCGTTGGATAAGATATTTAAACGTCAACCACAAAGAGGTGAGAAGAAATTAATTTTAACACAAAATCTTATTGAATATAATTAAACGATATAACGAACCTCGTTATAGTTCAGAAAGAACAAAATATTTTTAAGGGCCGGTTGTGTTTGTACTGTATTATAATTGTAGGGATATTTTTGTCGGTGAGATAACTTGTCGGGTACTCAGCGGTGCTGATAAAACAGTTATCCACCACATATAGTATATGGTTACCAAGATTTTTATATGAAAACTTTGTATGGTTACCTCATAGGTTAATCTATAACACCTATACGTACGTTGTGTTATTATATGTCGTCAAAAAAATTTTAAACAATTGTTATTGTCAAAATTTGGTCAAAATCATAATTCAATTTACTAGATATGGTGAAAAACTGTTACCAACCGACTTTTATTTCGCCTACTGACAAAAACAGTTTGTACTACAGCGAATATATTTATCCTCCCGATAAGTTTATCGACCGGATAGTTATCAGATAGATTGTTAATTCTTGTTTTAGTTGTTAAGTTACGTGCACTCCAAAAGGAACACAAAAGAACACTGTGTTTATGTTGCTTGTTCCTGGAACTTATATCTCAAAGTTTCTGGATGTTCTTTATTGTTTATGGCTGCAGAAAGAAATGTTCCTACAAATTTCAAAATATCTGTAAACATTTTTGTTTCGGACGCAGTGTGGACACGTTGTGACAACTTGTTTCCGAAACTTGTGTGCAGAAAATATGTCGTTCCAGTGAGTGTTTGTGAACCTCACGGGATAAAAGTTTTAAAGATCGTTACAAAAAAAAACAAGATTTGTGGGTGGAAATGATGACGTCGGGTACGATAATTAATTAACACTAGTGGTGGAACGGATATGCGGCAACTATCTGGTATCCGGCTGGATACCGGATAGTCACCAAATATCCGACTTTGGCCGGATATTAAATATCTATTACTTAGTACTCCACCATTCACAGGAATTAGTATCTCTTTTAGATGTTGGACACTGCAGATAATAATCAAGTTCAACCCCAATAGGACTTTTTTCATTGAATACAACTTTATTTATATCAGTTTTGTCATTAGCAACCTCATTGTAGCAATCCCAATACGATATATAAAATCTCTTGTTGCAGTTTCCTCTAGTTTTCTTCTCTTCGCTTGTAATTCATTATCACATTCATTACTAACAGAACTGTCGCACAGTGGTCCGAAAACACTCAAAACCCGATCGAAAATCAATTAAAAAAAAAATTTTATAGTGTTGTTTTTTTAAATGTTACATATATTTTAACTATTAATAGACTCTTAGTGAAGTTTATGAAGTCTTTGGTGTTTTATAATAGCTACTGCGCGAAATAAATTGCTATTACAATTACCTTATTTTGTATAAGGAAATTTTTTAGAAAACGACACAACTTTAGAAAACAAAAAAGATGGTATATCACTACTTGAAAATATTGTGTCGTTGGTTTCTTATAAAGTACAGAAAGGTCTTCATTTTACGACTTTCCAAATTTCAAAAGATGTTTGTTGAAAAAAATTACAACCATTTCTATTGACGTCAATAAATACTTATATTTTTTGACCATTCAATCTTTTAAATTAAATATCTTGCGAGCGAACAAAATCGAACAATTGTAGCTAACATTTTTTTATTGCTGAAGGTATGGTGTACATAGCATAAGAAAGAAATCTTGCGCCAACGTGCGCCTTAACCAAAAAATTGGCAGTCAAAGATTACTTAACACATAATTGTGGATCTTATTTATCAAGAAGCAAAAAACAAACAAGTACGCAGATTTAGAGAGTGTCACACAAGAAAATGTGGTAGACTTCAAACAAATGAAGATTTATTTAAAAGACTATTACTGAGCTCCGATCCATTTATTAGTAACTTTTATAAAGAATGTTCAGAAAGATATAAAAATATGAATGAAGACATGAAAAATTTACTTATACTGGACAAATCTCTAGAAGAAAAGGAAGGTAAAGAAGAAGATGATGATGATGAAGAAAGTGAAGAAGAAGACAATAATGATGAAGAAGTAAATATAGAGGAACAAGATCTAGAAAATGAAGAAGACTCACACAAATTGAGATAAATTTTGTTATGTTGGTGAATATAACAAAATATTTTATATTATCTCGAATAATTTGAAATGTATGTGGACTATCTCAGTATCATGGGAAAATTCTACTATAAGTAGGCTTCAAACTTACGTATTATGGTCTCCAATATCACTTCAAATTAAGAGCGATGAGTTTATTCTCGAATAGTTCTTAAAACATTTTTAGTAAAAGCTAAGTAAAATTGAGCTATCTAACCAACTAATTCTGCCAATTAATTTTGCCACATTTTTATCAAATTCCATTTCTGATAGGGTAAAAAAATATGGGGCGTTCCATTTAAAATTTTCGACTTTCTTACCATTGAATATGGAGAAACGATAATTCAATTTTTGACCACCCTGTATAAGATACTTTAATACAACAAATGACAATCTGTTTGACAACATCTCAAGAGTAATCGTGCCAATTTAGAGCTTTTTTGAATGAACGTTGGCTGAGATATAAGGTTTTAAAGAGCATAAAGTAATTTGCCAAAGAAAAACTTAAAAACAAAATAACTCGAAAACGAAAAATGGTAGGTACCAATAACTTTTATCAAAGTCAACTTATTTTGTCGAATATAATTAAAAGGTGCATTAAAAACTATAGCATTCCATTTAAAATAACGAAGTTGTGGTCTACATCCGGTAGACCGGAAGTGGCGGCCATCTTGAAAGTATTTTAGATCGAAAGCTTCGAATGAACAATCCATGTTGTCAAAATTTCAAACCGCTACGAATAGTGGTACCTAAAAAAGTTCTAACGAACCAGTTACGTGAGACATCCGGTATAGGTCCTCTATAAAACAATTTAGATAGGAATTTGCGATCACGTAATTACACAAAAAAATGTGAAGTAATATACGTCTAATGTTTTGCACAAAATTTTATAGTAATATTCTTCTTTAAAGTCCTAATTTATATGAAAAGAAAATGAGTATGAATTTAAATAAAGTACTGCTTGCGTAGTACTACTTCCGGTTGACGAATTTAATTCAAATTTTGACACAACATTACCCTTTTGGTCTTATAACCATATGCCAAGTTTCATAAAGCTAGCTAATTGCTAATACCAAAATAATATTTTCGATCGGGTTTTCTTACCGCTCGGACCACTGTGTGTCGCTGTTATCACTTTCGATTATTAATTAAAGTATCCTCTTTTTAATGCAAAAAGCCGTTTTGGAAAATCACTTTCAGTTCTTGAGACATAAATTTTTGAAGTGATCGAAATTTTTTTCGAACTTATGTAATTTTCGTCGATTAGGTTTTAAAAATTCGTATAAAATCCAGTTCTTGGAATATGAGTATGAAAATTTCCCAAAGTGTTAATAAAAGCGTGCTCTTTCCAATGAACCAACACGTTTTGACAAATAACTTTTAGTTTTTGAGAAAACAATATTTGAAGTTTTAATAACATTTTCGATGTTGCAATTTTCATCGATAATTTTCAAAATTTGCTATAAAATTAATTTCTTGAAGGATTCTTGTGGAAATATTAACAATTATTGATTANCGTTTTGAAAAATAACTTTTAGTTTTTGAGAAAACAATATTTGAAGTTTTAATAACATTTTCGATGTTGCAATTTTCATCGATAATTTTCAAAATTTGCTATAAAATTAATTTCTTGAAGGATTCTTGTGGAAATATTAACAATTATTGATTAAAGAATCCTCTTTTTAATGCAAAAAGCCGTTTTGAAAAACCACTTTCAGTTCTTGAGAAATAAATTTTTGAAATGATCGACAATTGTTTCGAATTTTGCAATTTTCGCGGATTAAGTTTTAAAAATTCGTATAAAATCCAGTTCTTGGAATATCAATATGAAAATTTCCCAAAGTGTTAATAAAAGTGTGCTCTTTCCAATGAACCAACACGAATGGAAAAATAACTTAGTTTTTGAGAAAACAATATTTGAAGTTTTGATAACATTTTCAATGTTGCAATTTCCATCGATAATTTTCAAAAATTGCTATAAAATTAATTTCTTGAAGGATTCTTGTCGAAATATCATCAATTATTAATTAAAGTATCCTCTTTTTAATGTAGAAAGCCGTTTTGAAAAATCACTTTCAGTTCTTGAGAAATAAATTTTTGAAATGATCGACAATTTTTTCAAATTTTGCAATTTTCGCCGATTAAGTTTTAAAAATTCGTATAAAATCCAGTTCTTGGAATATGAGTATGAAAATTTCCCAAAGTGTTAATAAAAGTGTGCTCTTTCCAATGAACCAACACATTTTGAAAAATAATTTCTAGTTTTTGAGAAAACAATATTTGAAGTTTTAATAAAATATTTCGATGTTGCAATTTTCATAGATAATTCATTTTGTATCTTGGATCCAAATAAGTTGACATATCTTATCAGCTTTCTTATTAATTTATATACAGTATCCGGCCGAAGGGGATGCCGAATATCCGGTATCCGGCTTTTCGCACAATCACTATCCGTTCCATCACTAATTAACACACTGTATACAGAGTGAATCAATAGTGCGGGACGGAAGATAGTGGCGTTACAGTTGAAAATAAAAAAAATGTTTTTATGAACCCTTTGCATCTTTTTACATATGCTGATTAGCTGTCTTAAATGCTACAACAATATATCTTGTTTTCAAATTTTGAATGCAAGGTTGCCAAGTTATTCATTATTTTGTGAACATTTTTGAAAATTCATGTGTTCACTTAAAATTTGTTATTAGCATTCTTATTAAATATTCAAGGTTGCAATTTGGCATATCAATAAACAAAGCTTGGGTCTTTAGAACGCCGCTAATACTATTGGATGTAAACACCTGTATAATATACAGGGTGTTTACCAGAAGCCTTATTAATTACCTTTCATTTTTGTTAAGCATATGGTATATCTAACAGATGTACTTTTTGAGATAATTAGAC